GGAGGTAGGTCGCTGAAGTCGTCCTTTGAGTCGTCGACGGTGGTCTGAATGTGAATAAGTAAAAAAGAATTAAAATGATTAGTTAACTAATAAAAATTCAAGAATGTGTGTAATGGCTCAAGCGGTGATCAAGCAAAAGGCAAAAGAATAAAGGAAAAAGCAAAAAAAGCGAATAAAGCGTAATATTAGCATAACTTACAAGGTCAAAAATTAAAAAAGAGAAAAGAAGAGGTGAAGAAAGAAAGATAGAGTAGAAGATTTGAAAAAGTTAAAATTAAAAGAAAAAGTTGTCGAGTTTGTAAAATGTTAAAACCGATCATACCTTATTGGAGCCAAAAATGCCAAAGATGCCATTCCTCTTTCTGAACTTGGCCGCAGAGAAGGTGCCCCTGATCGTTTCAGAGCGCGTCACCGAGGAGGCCGAATGGTGCAGCCCATGAGAGCTACTCCGATGTCCACCATTGGGGGTGGAACCATTCTCCGAGGCATCACTACCACTTCCATTCATCATCGACCCATCATCGCTGTTCCTCGTCATCACCGATAAGTCTTCAAAGGGATAGTCATCCGGCGGGAGGATGCCCGACTTGTACCTCTCCACCACCAGGCGACTATCTTCTTGAGGATCAATCTGCTCACTGGCCGTCACCATGCCTTCAATGCACTTCTCCACAATGGGCAGCACCTTCCGCCTGATGGCCGCCCCGGATTGGATAAAGTTGCGCATGCAGGCGGCCCGCCGCTCCTCCATGTCCTGGAACTGGTGAAACACCTTGGGCATCAGCTCGCGGTAGTGCGCCCGCTGCAGCTCATTCGTCCGCTGCAGGTGCGTTGCATAGTCGNCGCATGCAGGCGGCCCGCCGCTCCTCCATGTCCTGGAACTGGTGAAACACTTTGGGCATCAGCTCGCGGTAATGGGCCCGCTGGAGCTCATTCGTTCGCTGCAGGTGCGTTGCATAGTCTGACATGGCGTCATCGCACAGCTGCTTCTTCGACACTGAAATCAGGCGACTCTTCTCCACTTCCGCCCGGCTGAGGTTCAGGTCGGCGTCCGCCTTGGTGTAGTTGTCCTGCGCCTTCTCCGCATCTCGGAAAGCCTTCTCGTAGCTGCGTTTCGACTTCTCCAGGCTGGTGATGGCGCCGTGGAGGCCGTTCTGCAGCTTGGTCCCCTCGGCCAGGTGCCGCTTCCGCTCCTCCTTCATCTCCTTCACGAGGATGGAGATCTCCTTGACGATGCGGAGGAGGAGCTCCTCGGCGATGATCTCATGCTGGTTGGCGATGTCGTTGATCTCGGAGAGGGAGAGGTTGAAGGCTTTGATCACCGTGTACCTGGGGAAAAAAGGTTTGTTAAGGAAGATTTTAAACATTTTTTCAAAACCGTTTACATGTTCTCCTCCTCATCCTTCTTCTTGATCATGTAGTTCTTGACTAGCCGACGGAGCTTACTGGCGTAGTCCGTCTCAATGGCCGACAGCTCCTTGGTGAACTGGCCATACTTGTCCAGCAGCTCCAGGCCTTTGTTGGTCACCGAGGCGATGTTGTCGTACTGATCCTGCAAAAAAGAGAGGGAAGTGCATTAGTAAAGACAAGAAAAAAGATTTTTAATGTGAATGTGAATGAAAAAAAGAGGAGAAAGAAAGAATAAGAAAGTGATGGTCAATGGTAGAGGAAGTGCAGAAAGAGGGAAAAACTACTACTACTATCGCACAATGAGGCAATTACATAAAAATTAAATGGCTGCTCTTCGATCATCTTTTCCGCCTGCTACTACTGATGATGGTCGTCGGGTGAATAGAGTGTGTCGAAGATGGGGCTGGAGGCTGCTGATGATGTTGATGATAATGAACACATCAGAAGAAGAGACAGCATCAATGAACAGAAATCAGCAGTGGTCACGGTAAACTTTTATTCACTGCAGACACTGCAAATTAGTGACAGACAGTGAGTTACAGCTGGCACAATCAGCACACACAATTGAACGCTCACACTTTGCACTAAACAGTTACAAATGTGACGAATGGGTGTGACGAATTGGGGTGGTGAAATGAGGAGGAGAAGATAAGGGGTCGTAAGAAGTGGTCATCACCATCACCATCCTTTAGTCATCATTCATCAAACAGACGAACAGTTTAAAAAAGAGAAGCCTAAAAGGTGGCAGTAAAACAAAAAGAGTTAAAACACCACTGCACTGACAGCTGATTCAAAGTGGCTGAACTGCTGTGTTGTACTTCACAACCCGCCAAATTGAAAGTTCCAATGACCTCTCTCGCACACAAACTACACTCTTTCAAACACAGCAACTGGCTACAACGACTACTACGATGATCAGTGTTGGTGCTGATCGACGACAACTGATTTGGCTTCCACTGGAACCAGCTTTAGCTTTTGCCAGTTTCGTCGACATCAACTTTATACACACACACACACACACCAAACATTCCTGGTAGCAAAAAAGCACAAGCTGCAGAGACTTGTGATGGGCACAGTCGATTAGGCCGCACGTCGGATGCTGCTGCAGCCTTTAGTTAGCTTTGCTAACAAGCAAAAACACAGTTTTCTTCTGCCAATGATCACGCAGAAGAGAGAGAGTGTGAGATGATGATGATGATCGAAGCAAAACAAGCCAGCAAGCAAACTTGCAACAGCAGCAACAAGAGAGAGTTGGAAAACAAATAGCACGCTGCTAAATGGACAAAAGAAGGCGAGAAGGGCAAGGAAAACGATGGAGAAAACTGTACGACTAAAAACAATGCAGAAGCAAAAAGCAGAACAAAGCCGGACACGACGGCGACGGCAGTAGCAGCAAGAGTAGACACAGCGGAAAAAACTGTCAACAACCCAAAACAGAAGTAACGGCAAAAAACTGGCAAAAATAGCCAAAAAGGAGCTCCTAAACGAAGCTCAAAAGTGGACGGAAGCACAGAGAGAAAGAGAGAACCAAACAAGAGGGGGAGAGGAAAAAAGAAAACAAAAAGCAAAAAACAAAAAGAAGAACGGTGGTCTGTCAATCAACAGCAGACAGAGAGAGATAGACAAGGCAGACAATAGAGAGGAGTCCAATTGATTGGCAGACACCAGACATTGGGCGTCATGCTGAGAGACGACAGCAGCAGCAGCCAAACGAATAGGAGGACTAAATACGAGCCAGCGAGAGTGACATCAACACATCAGCTAGTGAGTATCACCACCAGTCTAGCTAGCTCTCCCACCAGTCAGGAGTGATTATCATTCTTCGGAAATCAAACTTTTTCATTTCACTTCATTGCTCCACCATCGATCCAGGAGAGAAGAGCAATATCCGCTCTATCTATCTAGACAGACAGACAGAGCTGCTGCTATCCGCAGTGCGACACAGTGGTGTGGTAATTACAGAAGAAAATGAAATTGAAATTGAAATGACTGCGTAAGAGCGCACTAGCTCGAGCTGGCTCGTACGTTCTCGTACAGTGACGCTTCGATTGCTAATCGAGAGAGCTCGGCACAGCGCAAATTGTGGCTGGCTCGTAGCAACAAACCAGGAACAGAGATCACACAACAACGACGACAGGAGAGAGAAAGAGTCAACGATCAAATGAGTGCGTCTGTCTGCCTTATCAAAAGTCACAGTGTGGCCACCACGAGACGACAGCGACGACATTAGTTACATAAGAGCAACTACTACAATGGAAAAGAGGAGAAAGAGGGGACAGTTTGCTCATTCGATTAGCCCAGTAGACAGGTAGAGAAATGAGCTGAGCTGAATGAATGAATGAAGCTGGAGGAGACATGCGAGACAGGGACACTGCTTAATACACATCTCAAACATGTTGACCAGTGGCGGGCGGCTCTTTTTGCCGGTGACGGGCAACGAGCAGTGTAAGTGTGTAAGTGTAAGTGTTCACTGACTTCCATCGAGCTAAGACAAAGGAGGAAATGGAGAGGATAGTAAAAGTGAACGATAGTCGTCCCTGGGAGACTGCTGCTGAAATGTAATTTCTGACATTACTTCTTCTCTACTTTGCCGTTGGCTCGACAACAACGTCAGACAGGTAATTCTTTCGCCAAAAAAGGAAACCAAGAACATTCTAGACAGACAAACAGGGAAAAAAATCTTCTCATGCACCAAAAAATTCAGAGTAGTCGCTGAAGTGCACTACACTTTTGAGCACAACTGAAGCATGAGAAATGTGTGCGCGCTTGTGAGCTACTTCTACCACTGAGGTGAATAGGTAATTAATAGTGGTAGTTGTAGTGTCTGTTTGGCTGACAGACCATAGAGTTTGCTGCCGGTGTCATGATTAGTGATCAGCAGAGGTGAGTGAGTGAAAGCTCGCCCAAGCCTGCAGCAGTTGTGGTTAGATGCTATCAGCGTGACATATCGTCGACCAGGAGACAGAACAAAGTGCTGAGAGAGAACAATCGAGAGCTCACTACTAATTGCTGCCCATACTCAACCCATGAACACCACCACCAGACAGAAAAAAGCCAGACGCTTCCATCTAATGCGGAAAGGAGAGAAAGAGGAAAAAGGAAGGGAGGGAAATTATAGCAACAGACATTACGAAAGAAGTGTTCATAAAATGGCGAGAAAATGGGGAAGATGCAGAACGGCAGCATTTTAGAATCATGCGCCTGTGTGAACTGAAAAGAGCAAGAGATGCAAAACTGGAAAAGTAGAAAGAAAGTGTGAATTTGAGTGCTCATTCGCTCTCATGCATTGAAAAGCTGATTTTGAAGTGCTGGCGTACTGATAGAGTAAGCACAAAAGCGCACCAAATGCACTGCACAAGGTCTGCACTACTTTAGAGGACACACTCATACACAAAATCTGTTCAAAGGAAAAGCAGTCATCCGTCAAAGAGTGAGCGGGGTGAGAAAGAGATGATGTCAAAGTGCACACTTGTAGAGTGCTTGTCTCTAGTGAGAGCTAGGTGCAAGGTGCACACCAAAATGATCATTTCATTTCATTTTGAAGTTCACTGTGGTGGTGGAAAAAATGACAACTGATCAACAGAACAGCCCGGCAACAGAGCACAGAAGCCGCAAAAAGAAAAAAAGGAGAAAATAAAATGAAAAGGAGAGAAAAGACCTGTTGATCAATTGGCAGCGTGTCAGCGCAAAAAGGTGCAAAAGGTCAACTTCAAGACAAAATAAAGTGGTGGTGGAGACAGTGGGCAGCAAGCCAGCCAAAGTGACAAACAACACACAACAGCTAAAAGTGTCCAGAATCGAAGAGCCACAACTTTTTGCAGGCAACTAATGTGCCAAAAGCTTCTGTCTGTTCCACTTCTAGTTTAGGCTAAATGCAGTGGAAAAGACTTCAAAGTTGAGCTAGCCGACACAACAGACATTTCGAAGGCAAAAGGTCGGCTCGCTTGATTTATGACCACACTACTGCCACCTTGGCCAGCAGTGAGTGAGTGTGTGTGATCACCTGACAGGATTATATATTTTCCCGGTCAATCAACCAACTCAAACTAATTTTTTGCGGCTGTGTTGTTTTTTGCTGCTGCATTCATTTACTCAACTCTGTCTCGAAAAAAAAGATAAATTGAATCGCAAGTCAATGAGCGGTGAGCAGTGAACAGCGGACGTAGTCGGACTGAAGACGCCGACTGAAGCCCAAAAATGACAGTGGACAGCAGCCATCAACAGTGTGGTGGTTGAAAAAGAAAAANACTAATTTTTTGCGGCTGTGTTGTTTTTTGCTGCTGCATTCATTTACTCAACTCTGTCTCGAAAAAAAAGATAAATTGAATCGCAAGTCAATGAGCGGTGAGCAGTGAACAGCGGACGTAGTCGGACTGAAGACGCCGACTGAAGCCCAAAAATGACAGTGGACAGCAGCCATCAACAGTGTGGTGGTTGAAAAAAAAGAACGGCAGTCCAACACAGCAATCAATCGAATAATAATTTGTAATGAAATGATTAGTCTGGAGAAGAGTGGTGGAGGAGGCTGCAGCAATCAATCAGCAATTGAAAGAGATTGGTCGGTAGTACAAAAAACATTTCCAAAGCTAAGAGAGTTTGTGGTGGAAATGGTAATGTGGTGACACAGAAGACCACTGCTGCTGCTGCTGTTGTTGTTCACAATTGGGAAGCGCCCAGTGGGGATTCACCGGACCAAGATTGAGGTAGAAAACGGTAGCACAATCAACGACACACTTTGGGTCCACTGAGTCAAAGTGACTTTATCATAATCATCACCGACCCAAACGAGACCAGTGAACACTAAGTAAAAGACTACTTCAAAGCACTGATGATCGATTGAGTGGTTGGAGGGATTGAAGCAAACGAATGACGAGCCGATGCTGATGGTACAACTTTCAAACAAACCAATCCACACACAGAGACAATCAATCAGTCTTTCTGCAGCAAGCGCAGATTTAACAACAGCAGTGCAGAGATGATCTGGGGAAGATGTGCTGTCGTTCTTCACACAAACACCACAGTGAGTGAATACTGGTGCTGGTAGTGCTGTTGCAAGTGTTGGTGATCGAATCAACCATTAATGAGCCATCGCTTGAACGAGTCAATGTTGAAGCCCATTGGATGCTGCGGCTGCTGCAGCTA